GAGGAAAGAGCGGAGAGCCCAAGGCACCCCATGCCCGCGTTTCATTTCTCAGGTACACACTGATCCCCACTTCCACCCTGCTGGGACTGGCAGCGGCCCCGCTGTGGTCTGCGCAGGGCACCTACCTCACCATCATGGGAAACGCCCACGCAGAGAAGACAGGAGAGGTTGGCCAGGACGTGGTCAGCCAGTACTTTGGCACCTTCTTTTTCATGTACCAGGCGTCTGGCGTGTGTGGCAACCTGATCTCGTCTCTGGTGTTCGGCCAGACGCCCACTCAAGGTAACAGGAAGGAAGTGGTGACCGTGGGGGGCCCCTGGTCCCGCTACACATGTCCTCATTCAGGACTTGAGCAGGTGGTCCCGTGAGGCCACAGGGCATGGCTCTCAGGCTGCCTGTGCCTCAGGGTCACCTGGGCCCCGCCTCTTCCCCAGACAGTCTGGTCGGGTCTGAGGGTCCGTCTGGTCCACGGGTGCCCCAGCGATTCCAACCCTGGCCTCCCCTGAGCACAGGGGAGCCTGGGGTGCCCTGGGGAAACAACTGTGGAACTCGGGTTCACGGAGTCCATTATTATCCTTCTAGACTAAGAATGGGTCCCATGGATTTATTTTGCCACTGAATTGATCCATTCACCACGTTTTTCTTGTTACGCAAAGGATCACTTAACAGATTTGAACATTTGGTGACTGATGCTTTAATTCATCTGTCTGCCTGACCACACTCAGACAGGGTTGCAAAGTGTGGATCTGCTTTATGCCTGCACCCTTCGATGTCTGGGGACTTAGACCAAGGACAGAGGAAATAAATATGTTCAATTCTCACAGGAAATTTATTAATGGGGAAAAATGTTCTAACTCTCCTGCTGTTATCAGGATCATGTCTCTCTCTCTCTCTGCCCTGGTCCCGTTAACCCATGTAAAGTCCCACGTTTGGGAAACTGTAATAAAAAATCCGTCTCCCCTTTTTGCTCATGTGATGTCATCACTTGCTAAGTGCATCCACAGAAGGGAACCTTTACGGTGGACGGACACCAATCGTTACTCAGTATTGGAGAAACCGTCAGCAATCAGCCAACAGAAGCTGGGGTGAAGGTTCAGTCTCTGACGTGACGGTGGTGAAGGAGCGAACGGGTTTACTTTTAAAGACATACAGACAAGTGAGCTTCAGTCTCTGCCTGGTCATAGGACACAGAATTCGAGGGCTGGAAGGCACTGTGAGAACACTGCCAGTTTTCTCAACCTCTCTAGGCTTCCAGCCTCCACACTGCCTTCTCATCCGACGAGCTGCGCACCTCACCGGCCAAGGGGAATTTGCAGCATTTTATGTGATAAAATCTGTGTGATGGAAACAATGAAACACTGAGGATTCTCTCCTCCATGACATCCATCGTCTCTCTCCCGAGATTCTGATGTGGCTCTACTGAGGGTCATTGATCGTTCAAATTTTATTCTTTTAATGGGGAAGAAAGTAACATTCAGAGAAGTTATGCAATAACCTGCCAGAGGTCATGAGACTGGTTCCAGATGAACCTGAGAGAGAACCCAGTGGGCCCGACACCCAGTCTAATGTACTCTAGTTCTGAATTAATTCTGAAAAGGGGGCAAGGTTCAATTACGTCAAGAATGTAATGTAACAAGTCACCGACATTTATTGCACATTGGTCCAGAGTGTCTTAAAATCAAGTACCCAGACACGTGCCCAATGGGAAAAGCGTTCTGAGACACTGGGTCAAACGAGCCCTTGTCTCATGACTCTGACCTACGGTGATGTCTTGTCCTCTGCGTGTCCAGGCTCCTTTTCCCTGGGCGTTTTCTTCCTTGTGTACCGTCTCCTGTCAAGTTACCCTTGTCCTCAAAGCACCTCTTTGCTTCCCCCTTCACAGGGGCCATCCCAGAGGAGCAGCTCCTGTCCTGTGGGGCCAGTGACTGCCTGATGGCCACGGCGTCCACCAACAGCACAAACCGTCCCTCCCAGGAGCTGATCTACACCCTGCTGGGCATCTACACGGGTACGTGCTCGGCACCGGGAACCCAGGCAAAGCAAGCCCCGTCGCCTTCCTGGGTTGAAAAGACCACCTGCTCAAAGTATGAATAGTCTCTCTTCACCTGCAAAAGCCCCACAAAATGCGTTCAGCTGGTTCGTACTCAGCCTTTTCCACGTGAAATCGAATGCAGCAGCCCCTGCTGACCGAGGTCTCCCGTGATGATACAAGCATTCCACATCTGCACCATCCAGGCCAGTAGCCATTACGTGCACTTACTTAAATTCTAATTAACGAAAGTAAAATTACTGTTCTGAGCTCACAGCAGCCACGTTCCAAGTGCTGAATGGCCACGCGGAGCGATGGCGGCCCCATCAAGGGGACCACGGCCTTGGTGGGTTGGCTACTCGTGTTCTAAGTATGTCCAGGTGGATTTGGGAAGTCCCAAATCCCGGGGTTATCACCTTTTTCCGAGGAGTACATTTAAACGGCTTCTGCTGAGAGGCTGGGTTTGGGCACGGGTCTCCCCAGCACCCACCCTCGGGCATCGGCGAGGCCTTGGGGCTCCCACTGCTGGTCACAGGGCAGCGGAAGGCACAGGACATTGGAAGTTCATGAAAGATGGTTGCCCGAGGGAGTGAACCCCTATGGTTCTTACCCTTAGACGCTCATTTGAATGGAAAATGTTTATGTTAATAGCTTTCTAAATGACTTTGCTCTTACAGATGTGTCACCACTTTGACGGGCGTACCCTTAGACTAGTTTTGTTGTTGTTACCATTTGAAGAAAATTTAAGGGTATCCTTTGTCATTCTTTTTTTTTGTGTGGTACGCGGGCGCCTCACTGTTGTGGCCTCTCCCGTTGCGGAGCACAGGCTCCGGACGCGCAGGCTCAGCGGCCATGGCTCACGGGCCCAGCCGCTCCGCGGCACGTGGGATCCTCCCGGACCGGGGCACGAACCCGCGTCCCCTGCATCGGCAGGCGGACTCCCAACCACTGCGCCACCAGGGAAGCCCTGTCATTCTTGAATTCTAGAATCTGTAAAGGTCTTGGACTGTGTCCTTCTTAAAGATCAAGAGTCTGATAGGTATCAGATTTGGTGGGACTGAGTGCAGGACTCCACTGGGAATCAAAGGTCCAGAAGCCACGTGCATGGTCAGTTTGTCTCCCCTGTGAGATAAGCTGCCACCAACACGCCGGTCTCTTTCAAGGTGGCTTCCAAGTCAGAGGTGCCAAGTGAGCCCTTTATGCTACAAGGCAGAGCGAGCGCTGGCAGACGCCGAGCGATGTGCTAGAGCTTCTGTGGCCCAGAAACCAGCCGGACAAGACCCTGACTTTCAGTGACCTTAGAGTCCAGATGTGCCTTCAACTAACCAAAACTTTTTTTTTTTTTTGTTTGCAGTATGAGGGCGCCTCACTGTTGTGGCCTCTCCCGTTGCGGAGCACAGGCTCCGGACGCGCAGGCTCAGCGGCCATGGCTCACGGGCCCAGCCGCTCCGCGGCACGTGGGATCCTCCCGGACCGGGGCACGAACCCGCGTCCCCTGCATCGGCAGGCGGACTCCCAACCACTGCGCCACCAGGGAAGCCCTGTCATTCTTGAATTCTAGAATCTGTAAAGGTCTTGGACTGTGTCCTTCTTAAAGATCAAGAGTCTGATAGGTATCAGATTTGGTGGGACTGAGTGCAGGACTCCACTGGGAATCAAAGGTCCAGAAGCCACGTGCATGGTCAGTTTGTCTCCCCTGTGAGATAAGCTGCCACCAACACGCCGGTCTCTTTCAAGGTGGCTTCCAAGTCAGAGGTGCCAAGTGAGCCCTTTATGCTACAAGGCAGAGCGAGCGCTGGCAGACGCCGAGCGATGTGCTAGAGCTTCTGTGGCCCAGAAACCAGCCGGACAAGACCCTGACTTTCAGTGACCTTAGAGTCCAGATGTGCCTTCAACTAACCAAAATTTGATAGGATGTGTGTTTTGAACAAAGTTCCCAGTTGACATGTAGTTACATCTTCTGGGGAAGTTGTGTTCTGGGGCAGCTTTGATGGGGAGGTGGTGCCCAAGCCAGGTCTTGAAGGGTGAGTAGGAGTTTACCAGGCAGAGAAGGGGACGTGAAGGACACTGAAGGCGGAGAAGCCCCAGAGGGAGCCAGAGTGGCTGGAGGACAGGGGCCTGGAGGGGTCAGAGGAGCCAGAGATGGGCGTGACCAGCGGTGGCCTTGAGTCTGCATGCGCACTTATTTGTCTTGTAGACAGATTCTCTTGTTAGTTTAGTGTGGGCGTGAGAAAAACAGCGGACAGAGAAACCAGTGCAGGGGCGATACAGTGACCCAGAAGATGAAGGGGAGTGAGCACGGTGTGCAGAGCAAGGGAGGGGCGGCGCAAGAGAGTTAGAGTGACAGCCAGCAAGACTTACCTACGGACTGGACACGGGATATGGGAGCGGACGGGCCGACATTCTGTTTGGGAAACGTTCAGCCTGATGTGAGGGCAGAACAGTGTGTCCCCTGGGCGGTTAGGGACCTTCCACAGAGGTCCTGGTTCACAGAGAATCCAGCCGCCTAAGTCCAGACGTTTATGTAAAGCAGGGACCTTGCAGACATCATACGGGGAAACAAGCAAGGCCATGTTATCACAAAGACAAAAGAAAATGATAAAAAACAGAACTAAAATAAGGAAGGAGAAAAACAGACCAAAGCCAAGAGAGAACCATCTCCCTGGAGTAATTTCCTGGGACTCCTGAGCTCTGTCCTAATGATGCAGCGTATTAGCCCTAGCACCAGCAACCGCCCGGTCCACGCCCCTGCAGATGGCCCTGGACCAAGGGACCCTCTGGACACGTGTCTGTGTCCTGGTGAACATGTGGCTTCTAGTCCTACCCCCGGCCCCCCGCTGCTGCATCTCAGCCCCTGTCCCGGGGAAGCTGTGTCCTGGGGCTGCTCCGAGCTCAGGCCGGGGAAGGAGCTGTGGCAGGTGGTGGGTGCTCTCAGCCAGCTGATGCGCCGGTTTGGAGGAGCGCCTGCGTGCGCTGACTTGCTTTGACAGTTAGGTGGGAATCGTGACCCCAGAGGACATCAGTGCCATTGTGAAATGTCTGCAGGACCAGAGTCCGGCCTAATAAACTTGGTCACAAGGCTGAGTTACCATGAAATGGGGGAGGGGACCAATGTTTAGCCAAGAGGAAAAGTAGCTGAATTACAGAGATAAAGCTTAGATGTAAAGTGGTACTCCTCAGCGTGGAAATGTATTTATTAACTACAGACTTCTCTGGGATGCGTGGGGGGACTGGTTTTACTATTTCTCAGGCAATCTGGAGGAGGGCTGACTTGGTAAGCCTCACGGTTTCAGGCAGCTACACCACAGTGAGGGGCGAGCCTTCTGCCTTGGGCGTCTGTGGCTACAAGAGATGGAAGAATAGCAGACAAGGTTGGGGACCAGTAAAGACACAAAATGGCTCAAATCCTCTTTAAAGGGTGATGGGTCAAAGCCAGCAATAAGCGATAAAAACTGTTCTGAAGGGTCCCCGATCCCACCAGGGAGAGGAATGACCACCAGCGGTCCTGAATTCATCTGTGGATCCCAAACCATGTGTATCATTATCACTGTAGATGGAAGAACAGTAGAGACATAAGAAATGACAAAGGGCCCTCAGCCTCAGTGAGGGAGCGAAAAGGTGTCCACGTAAAGAACAGGAAGATTAAACAGACATTCATTCTCCCTCGAGAGACAGGAAGGTGGGTTCATGGCAGAGAAAGAGATCTCATCATCACCTTCCGGAATCATGAAAGCACAGGATATCCCCTCAAGGGTGAAAGGAATAGTTGTCTTGAGTCACTTTTTGATAGATCCCCTGTTCACATGGTCACAAATACAAATATTGTGAAAGGGAAAATCCCCCTCTCACCGCCACCCAGCTTTCCCGCAGCCATAGACAACCCACATAGTCTTTAATTCTTAGACACACCTACCGCACGTCTAAACAGATATGTCTTTATGCCCCTCCATATCCAAATCAAATGGGAGCACAGTAGACTCCCAGCTCTGCACCTGGCTTTTCCTTTTAGCCATTTGTCTTGGGGGGAAACTTCCCATCTCAGTATGCAAAGAGCTCCTTTCCTTTCTCCAAACGCATCATCCCACTGGGGTTGGGAGATACCCTAATACACGCAGCTCCTACCACAGGACATTTGGATGAAGAGATCTGGGATGATCATGAAGAGAAGCCAATGGTAACTTTCCTGGCGGGACCCATAACCCTGAGAAGGGAGCCTAGCTGTTGGTAGAAATTACTTTGAGGATTCTGACGAGAGAAATGGTGCATGGTTAAGGGCCCTGAGGACCTCGGGGGTCTCTCCCCCGGTGTCTGTGTTTCCCATCACCTGCTCTGTGGGTGAGACAGCCCGACAGTCACAAAACCAGCACACGAGGATCGAGGCAACGTGTGTGGCCTCCGAGTCCACAACAGGGGTCAGGGGCTCAGGCTGCCTCCGTCACCTTAAATGTGGATCTGAAACCCACCCTCCGTTTCTAGAGGAGGAGGAAGTGAGGAGGTGAGTCCGCGCGCGTGCGCGGTGCCGCTGGAGCCCGTCACAGCAGCCTGTGTCCGTCCCCCCCCCCCCCCCCC